CTTCCAATTTAAGATATTCTATGCACACACACACCATCACAACTTTCTCAGCCACTGGTGTTCAGGTCTTCACTGCTTTTTCTGCTAGTTTTGGTAACTATTCTACAGAAAATTTCTCAGTAAAAAGTAAAAAATTAAAATGAAAATCCATTTTTGGATTGCTAATATAAAAGGAAAAGACAAACTGGGGGAAAGGCACAGACTAGCAAGAACAATTTGGCAGTAAAAAGTAAAAACTAAAAATGAAAATCCATTTTTGGATTGTTAATATAAAAGGAAAAGACAAACTGGGGGGAAAGGCACAGACTAGCAAGAACAATTAAAATTAAAGGCCCAAGCTCTGCAGTGTAGGGAGCCCAATGCATCCAAATCCTACGACCATCTATCAAAATCTGACACAGAGTACAATGGATGTACATGTGACTGTGATATTGCTTTGCCTCTGGAAGACAAAAAGGTGGTTATTTACACCTCTCTTATAAAGACTTTGCTAAGTCTCTAAGTAAAAAACAAAATATTTATTTTTCAACTAAATTATTTCTGTAATAATTTCAGCCTCTGAGAGAGTTTAAAAACGTACACTTTGCACAAATCCTTTGAAAAGCTCCTGGATGGAGTTTACTTTATATGCTCATAGCTTTAAAGAGAGAATGGTATTGCTGATAACTGCATACACTTTATCTCATGCACTCAGAAATATGATAGAGTTAGAACAGGCACAGACTGATACTCAGTATGGAGTTTACCTTATATGCTCATAGGTTTAAAGAGAGAATGGTATTGCTGATAACTGTTTGCATACACTTTATCTCATGCACTCAGAAATATGATAGAGTTAGAACAGGCACAGACTGATACTCAGTATTTGCACTTGAGGACCTATACTGATCCTTGGCCACTATGATTTCAGAGTCTCAAGAGAAACCTCAAGCTCTCACAGTTAGAAAATCAGCAAAAGAAAAAAAGTGGGTGCAACACAGGCTAACTACTAGCATCAGGCAAATAGTGGTCACATTATTCAGGAGCCAAACAGGGAGATGGTTTCTGCTAGGATGGGCATACTGTCCTCAGTATGAAAACAGTGGGATCTAAACTCATTGGGAGCCCTTGTGCCAAGGGACCCCCAGTTTCCGGGAACTAAAGACATCTCTGGGGAAGATTAGGAGTTATCAGGAATTATCGCTGACCTATTTGGTAAGTCTGGGTTTCCCAGATTACGTGAAGATAATGGTACAAAGATATCCCTATTCTTCAGAAAACCTCAGATAAAAAGAGTTAGCACTCACCTAATGCATTAGCGAATGGTCACAACTGCCCTGAACGCACCAAGTACCTGCTTTTAGTTTACTCTTCCCTGGAAGAAAATGTTTTCATTTTGTTTGAATAGTTCTGGGAGTTAGAGGATGCTGATTCTTGTCAGGCTAAAGTCAAAAGCTGAAATCTGTTTGGGCTGGAGGGATGATTTTTAGTCACTGCATGGACTGAAATAAAAGCTGATTAAAATTGTTACTTTGTTGGTAGACTTTCATGTAATCCCCCTGGATCTCTGATTGCTTTCTTAATAGCATTGCTTAATGGTCTCCAGCTGCATTTGTTGGTGCTGGGAGACCTGTTCTGCTGTGATTCTTCAGCAATCGTATTTGGATGACACTGATGTAATCTGGGTAGATTCCAACCCACTATGTCCTACCAACAAGATTTAAAAAACCTCCAAACCAAAAAACTCCCAAAAAACAAAATAAAAAAACCATACATGCCTGGTGAACCGAAACAACCAATACGCTGAATCAGCATAAGACCAAAGGATCTAGTATATACAGCTAGCACATGTGGTTTCAGACAGGGGATGAGTCCTATTTGTTGTGTGCCTATACGTGCCTGGTGAACCAAAACAACCAATACGCTGAATCAGCATAAGACCAAAGGATCTAGTATATACAGCTAGCACATGTGGTTTCAGACAGGGGATGAGTCCTATTTGTTGTGTGCCTCTAAGTTCAGGGATGGTCGGGCATTTTCCAGGGGAAGAGGTGTTACTGGAGCAGGAACTCAGGTTAAACAAGAAGTTTGGAGTCTTTGATAAACTTTTGCCTGGAAAGGTTTGAAAATAACCCGGCTGCATCTTCTGGACATCAGAGGTTCAGACCAAGGTCTCCACTTTGTCTGACTCAGAGCAGAAATGCCAGCTTGGGTCCTGCAAACACATCCCTGGCTCACACTGGGTGCACCCACAGTGTACACACAGGAGCCCCCAAGTGTCTGCACACACATCCCCGGCTCACAGTGTGCCCATGCACTGCTTTGGACAAGTTACAAAATGCATAAAGAATAGAAGAAAGCTAATAGCTAGTGAGTTGGGGGCTGGGGGTGTCTGCTCTTTTCTAAATGTTAAAAGGGTGATAAACACATAATCTATAAAAATCTTGAACCAAACTTCACTTTCATTTACTCTATACAACTTTAACGACTTCTATGGATTTATGCCAGTAACCACAATTAGAACTTAAACATGTATCTTACATTCAATTTTGACTGCCATAGAAGAAATTAATCTTTACAATAAAGAAGCACAAAAGGTGGGTTTCCCTGTCTACTCACTTGTTTTGTCACCTTTTGAAATCTTCTCTCAATATATTTTTATTGACTACATGTTTACATTTTCTTCATGTTGATGCATAATAATAGCATTGAGGATTTCAGATTCTTTAGGGACATCGCTCATATTCTCAGCTCGCACACAAGCTTCCACTTTCAGTATATTTTTATTTATTGTAAACACTTAATTTCAAGAACGTAATAAAAGCACTTATAAAGACAAAGAATCTTGACGCTTTGCAAATTCTGTGTCGTATTTTAAGTAGTATAATGAATTAGGTAATCTTATACTACCCATTTTTATTAATGCAATACCTAAGGATATAGCCTGACTTAACCATTGCACACCTGCCCAGCTCTACACTGGCCTTGCCCTTAATGATTTATTATGAATGAAGAAGCAGATGAAACAGCGTGGTTGCAGAAAACTTTTTACCCCTGTATTTTACTGTGGGGACTAATTGATGCAGGATAATTAGTGGTGGACTTGGCAGTCCTGCGGTAATGATGATCTTAAAGGTCTTTTCCAACCTAGATGATTCTATGATTCTATGTATTATTTAATATTTGGTTTGATACATGTAAGACAGAATCTGTCATCAAATCCATTTCAGTTCAGCAACACAGACTATGAGATGAGATTCCTGACACATAGAATCACAGAATGGTTGGGATTGGAAAGGACCTTAAGATCATCCAGTTCCAAGCCCCTGCCATGGGCAGGGACCCCTTCCACTAGACCATGTCACCCAAGGCGCTGTCCAACCTGGCCTTGAACACTGCCAGGGATGGGGCATTTACCACTTCGCTGGGCAACCTGTGCCAGTGTCTCACCACCCTCACAGGGAAGAACTTCTTCCTTATATCCATCCTGAACTCCCCCTGTTTCATTTTGAACCCATCACCCCTTGTCCTACCACTACAGTCCCTGATGAAGAGTCCCTCTCCAGCAGCCTTGTAGCCCCCTTCACACACTGGAAGCTGCTCTGAGGTCTCCACGCAGCTTCTCTTCTCCAGGCTGAACAGCCCCAATGTTCTCAGCATGTCTTTGTACGGGAGGTGCTCCAGCCCCTGACCATCCTCGTGGCCTCCTCTGGACTTGCTCCAACAGCTCCATATCCTTCTTACGTTGAGGACACCAGAACTGCACACAGAGCTGCAAGTTCAAGTGCTTCACCACCCTCACAGTAGAAAAGAAATGCCTAATCCAACCAAAACAGCATGCTGACTACTCACCAAATGTCAGATTTTGTGTTATACCCCTGGTGCTTCAGTGCTTCTGGGCTCATGTAGTATGGTGTCCCAGTAAATGTAGTCGCCAGATCACATGAACCCATCAAAAGACAAGAAACTCCAAAGTCCCCTAAAAGTAACAGGAGAAACAATAAGCTATTCATATAAATCTATGCATATTCATATAAACTCTTTGTGTTTATTGTTAGACATGATACAACTACATTAAAAAACCCTCAAACCTGCCAGTTTTAAAAAATGGCAGCACGTTTTTCTGTAATTCTTCAAAATAAAAACACCACAACATCATAGCATTAGAGAATGATGTAGATTTGAAGAGGCCCCACAAGGTCATCTGATTCAAACCCCTGGCTCCAAGCAAGGCCTACTTCAAAGTTACATGAGGCTGCTCAAGTCCAGGTCCAGCCAAGCTTGGAGCACCCTCAAGGCTGGAGATTTCACTGCATCCTTGGGCCCATGTTCCTGTGTCTGCCTGTCAAATACATGTTTAACCATGAATCAAAATCCTGCATCAGACATGACCTTATTTTAATCTCTTTATTGACAGAATGTCTGCTGGACTGGTGCATCATACTAAAACATATCTTTAGAAAGTATGGAAATCTCACCAATTTTAAGAAGATTATTTTTCAAAAATATATTCTTGGCTTTCAAATCTCTGTGAAGTATCCGCCTGGAATACAAAACAAAATTCAACCTCAACCAACTTGAACGTACCAACCACAGTCACATATCAAATATCTCAAGTGTTTAACTTGGTTCCTTGTTAGGAAGGCCAGCCCACCACTGCTGCAGCCTAACCTTGTAAGCGCTAATGCACAGACAATGGCATTAAGGAGCTTCATATCAACACAGAGATGCATTCACTGACACCCACACGCAGGATGAGAACCTAAGCAGCCAGGATAAGAGAAACGCACACAGGGATCCCAGGAATACAGATACAGACTTAACATGAGCTGCAGAGGAAAGGAGAAAGGCAAGCCTTCCTACCTGACTCTTCTTGAAAGCATTACATCTTATTTTCTGCCAGGAGAATAAGATGTCTCGCAATAGAATAAAGGATAATAAAAACAGCAATAGGAAATTCTTTTATTCAGGGAATTCTCCTTCAGAGAAAATGTATTACTTGCAAGCCAAATACGTATATAGAAGAGGGTAGTAGGTCAAATTTTTACAGTAATGGTGTAGAATAGAACAACTTCACAAAGATAGATTAAAGGAAAAAAACAAGTAGCTTTTACAGACTTATTTTTCCATCAAAGACTGAAACAACATCATAAGCTACGCACCTTGTGGGGACAAACAGCATCTTCTCGATTCCTTGAAATCTTAATGTGTGACAGTAATTCTCCAGCCCCTTAGGATAAATACCTCTACAGTATACAAAACATGCTCTCAACTAATTCTTGACAGTAACTCTTCCAAAAGTGTTCCCTACAACCTCAACTAAACTAGAACTCATCCACTTCTAAATAGCTTGGTAACACACAGTGGTTTTTATCAGCTCTGGTTATAACAGAGCTGATAACTCTGCTCAGGAGGACTTTAGAATAGCATTTAATACATACTGGCTATAGAACATGTATTTACTTACACACAGTAGTCGTTCACCCATTTGTAACAGTGAAAGAAAGCAACTGATGCTCTAAGATTCTTGAGGTGTGGGCAGGAAAAACAAATATAATCATAGATTTAAGTTGTTGAGGAATCCTCAATTATCCCAAATTCTATTGAAAAAAATATTAAGTTCAATACACTCAGTTTGCAAACAGGAAAAAAGAAGTGAAAAATGACAAATAGAAGACATTGCAGTATGCACATAGACTGAGCATGGAAAGCAAGCATCTCTTTCTATGGGTCAACGAGAAAAGTTCTTTATACTTCTTATGGCAATTTTTCTAGCTTTTATTATTCTTATTGCATGAAAATAATGCTTGCAGAGAAAGTTTTGCACATGGGGTAAAAGGAAAGTTCTATTCAGCATGCCTCCAGCAATGTTTAGAAAGAATTTGTTCTCTATTTGGCAACTTGCTTGAGCAATACATTCCATCAGTAAGGAAATTAAGGTAAGGTTATATTCATTATTATTTCTTAAGCCTATATTATGCACACAGTTTCATATAAATCCAGCTGTTAATTTAGATTCATTAAGCCTTTCCTTACTGTTCATCACAGAGAACCTTGAAAGACCTTGACTTCACCAAGTTTGATTTTTCTTGCATGTTTTTGTTAAGCATTGATGGGTTTTAACCTTTATTATTATTATGTTGTAGAAATATAATCACGGACTCTTGAAACCTAAAAGTTTTCTGGATATCTGTGATCTGAATACCAGATATCCACTATCCAGAAAACTTTCAGTAGGACATTATTCGATAAGAAGATGAAGAGATGATGTTTGGTTCACCTTAGTTTGAATTAGAATGTAATGCTAATGTAAGCTTGCAACATATTGAATAAAATGTTATGCACATTATTTGCATTACCAATAATTATGCTTTCATATATTAACATGGCTAAGAAATAATTGGGGTGATTCTTTGGAACTTCCCATGATGATGTCTCTTGATGCAAGCCACCTTATTCTGCCAGGATATAGAATCATGGAATGGTTTGGGTTGGAAGGGACCTTCAAAGCTCATCCAGTCCAACCCCCTGCAATGAGCAGGGACATCTTCAACTAGAACTGGTTGCTCAGAACCACATCCAGCCTGGCCTGGAATGTCTCCAGGGACGGTTCATCCACCACCTCTCTGCGCGACCTGTGCCAGTGTTTTACCACCCTTATTGTAAAGAATTTCTTCCTCACATCCAGCCTGAATCTCCCTCTTTTAGTGTAAAACCGTCACCCCTCCTCCTGTCACAACAGGCCCTGCTAAAAAGCCTCTCCCCATCTTTCTAATAGGCCCCTTTTAAGAACTGACAGGCTGCAACAAGGTCTCCCTGGACTCTTCTCTTGTCCAGGCTGAACAATCCCAACTGCCTTTTCTCACAGCAGAGCTGCTCCATCCATCCATCTGATCATTTCTGTGGCCCTTCTCTAGACCCTCTCCAACAGGTCCATGTCTTTCCTGTACTGAGGACTCCAGAGCTGGATGCAATATGGCAGAAGATAAACAAGTTACAAGCTGAAACTTAAACAACTACTTTAATTCTAGTAAGAAATAAATATTGAGCCTGCACTGTAAATCCAGTTTAAGACAGAGTGTGACTCTTTGTTGTAGCAAAAGACAGGCCTATAAAGGTAACATGAACTCACTGGGCTCCAGAAAACTTTAATCTAACTTTATGGCCAGTGAAGTGGTTATTGAGTGGTTATTGTGGGTAGAAATTAACAATTAAGGATAGTTTCAAATTTGGGCTATAAACATACCCATACCTATGTTCTATAGGGTCTCTGCTTGCTGTCTCATAGTCATAAAAAAGCAGCACTGAACAGTGGGCAGCCTCCTTGAATAAAGATTCCTCTGCAACATACCAGCAAATGAAGCTCATCTGTTTACTGCTGTGAAATATTCAACACAATTTCTCTTTCCTCTAGCTGAAGAACTATTTAGAGAAATTAAGTTCTGAATAAGTCTGAATCCTGTACTGGGGAAGACAATGCGATATCCAGATAAAGTACATGGTCAAAGCCTGCTATCCTCTAGATTGAAAACAACAGAATTGTTTGCATAAATGGTAACTTTATAAACTCTGTGTTGGGGCAATTGTTCATAAAGATTAGCAAAGTGATGGATAATGTAATGGTCAGCTTTATTCAAATTGAGGTTAAATATATCAATGGCCTCGTTGCCTGATTGCCGTGGGATCAATTCTGTGCACTGATACGTCATGGGTTACAAATGTGCCAGAGAAACTAAATGATGTTACATGCTGTGCTCATCTAGATGAGACCACCAAACTATGTTGCTTTTCCTGCTCGTTCTGGTTATGTCAATGGCAGATGAGGTTTGAGCCCATTTAATGCTACGTAATTCAGGTTTAAGCATAAAGCATAATGACCACAGGATATTCATGCCCCCTTTAGGAAGCAAGTAAAAGTCTGGCATGTCTAATCCATATAATCTTTATCATCATAAGCAAAGAAAAGCTATCTGAAGCAGCAAAAATGTCCAGTTTTAACGTAAGTTTGCAGCACAAGAGTTTTCAAAGAGTGAAGTTCAGCTGAAGCTGTGCAAGAAGAACACCAAGTGAACAGTCTATGTCTAAACCCAGAAATAATAATTTTTGCTGCTCTGGAATACAAACTTCCATCTGCAGCAGCTGGGTTTTCTAAGGAACGGCACGAGAAGTCCAACCCACAGGTAATGAACACTTCACACTTCTAATTCTAGTGAAAAGTTTTCTTTGCATTCAAACATAGTTCAAACATATATTACAGCTCTTTCCTGTATCACTAAAGAAATCAAGTATGACTCCTCTAGACACAGAGGGCTGCTGTTATGTTTCAGAAACTCAAATTAATTTCTGTAAGTAGTTTTATTTTCTTTTAAGCCTAATCTTTTCCACTGAAGTTATTATCTGGCTCTAAACAAATAACATAAGGATTAAATTTTCTAATGAGCATACAGTCAAATAACACATAATAGAATAAATACAATACAGGAGATGTAAATAAAACAAAACTCTCAAGGCATTTGTATGTACCTGGTAAGATGCTAGCAAATAGCTGTGATTCACAGAATGAAAATTAAATGCTGTTTGGAAAATCAGATTTCTGCTTTTAGTGGAGAACTAAATGACTTTACAGGAAATGCAGAAATTGAATACACATATTTACCAAAGAAAGTTCATTTGTAAGATTTTATTTTTAGATTTGAAAGTAAGTAGAAGATGAGGAAAAACAAAGAGAAGAGTAGACAAAAGGGATGTATGTGAAAACAAGAGATAAAAGAGGCATGAGGAAATACAGACAGTGAGAGATGAAAAGAATAACTGGAAAGGACCTACAGTGATTATCTAATCCAAATGTAATGTTGTTGTTATCAACAATCAAGCTGGTGTTTTCACCAAAATCTTGTTTTCTCAATACTCACACAGGATAGAAGACTATGGATTCTAGTTTACATTCAGCTTGAAAATAATCTGAACTCTCATCTCCATACTGTAGGTGTAATTCACTCTTCAAACATAAAATCTTCTTCCCTCTGACTGTATTAATAATTTAAGTGATTATTTTAGGCAGATTAGCTCATCTCCCCAAAACACGCAGGTGATTACAGACAACCATCCTTAGCCTCTGCTAAGACAGTCATTACAGCAGTGACATTCTTATTTCTAAGAAGTTTAATAGGAATAATAGTCCAAATAGTTCAGCTTGGTAGGGTGAAAAAATCTTGAACTTTTGGGCTACAGTGCTCTTCAGAAAGGATTCTCTGTCTTGTTTATTAACATGACATTTCAGAGCTGCCAACAGGCAAAAGAAACAGGGAGGAGACAGGAGAAGAAGCTGCTGAAAGCCGGGTTCACTTCAATTGGCTCACTGCTTCTGAAAAGCTGGTAGGAAAGGAGCCTGGTATTCCCATTCACTCAGCCGTTTCTCCAGCTCTCAATAACTGCAAGGGATCCTTGTTGGCCCCCCACTTGAAAAAGCTGGATTTATTTTAGTCTTTTAATCCATTTTCTTCTAACAATATTGAACAATTTCTGTTGTGCTGAATTTTTCACTTGGGTCTTAGAAAAAACGTGTCTAATACCAAAAGACATCTACAACTGCACTGCTAAAAGATATAATACAGTTTTCTTGCAGGATAGATAATTAATTACACTTTAGGTGTATGACTACATATTATTTATGTGTATATATATACTACAGATATATATCTGTAGTATATATACAGTATATATACTACAGCAGATTGGTGAACAGGACTTTATACCAACACAAGACAATTTGTAGAGTTTTGTTTCTGTTTGAATATCTGCAACTAGTTGATACTCACTCCCCTCCCAAGCAAAACAGTCGCATATTAAATGACTGTACCTTTCATGCATATAGTTGACTCCGAGTAACAACTGTACAAACCAGTCTAATATTTGTCTTTGAGTGAATATCTTCCCAGATTCCTTGTACTCTTGAATTTTAAAGTCTAGATCTCCACCCTGAAAAACATCACAACAAATTTGTACATTTAAAGTACGGTTTTCAAGTGGCATCTTCTTCATCAAAGTACAGGACTCCGCTTTCTTAGACCTTCAGGGTCCCTACCATGTAGACTTTTTATAGACTACTTTTACAGACTGTGAATGCTTGCACATAGATTCTGAACTCGCCCAGCACCAAAAGTATTCACAACTGAGAATCAAAATGAGATCAAATAATCTGGCTGCAGAGGAGAAGTAGGTCAGTTTTCTCTTAGCGTTACACAATATCAAAGTATTTCAACTGTTCTCACTTCATGTCCCCCAACTTTAGACATGTGCATCTGAGTTGGTCACCTCAAACTCCCTTTTATAGTTAACACAAAGGAACAGACACTGCACAGCCAAGAGACCCTCTTGTTTACTATGCTGAAATACCCACGTCAGCATAAAAGAAACCATGCTGTTCTCTTAAAAACAAAACACAAACTCCTAAATTACAACACTTTGCACCTCTTCCAAACTCACTTTTCCTAGAAGTAACAGAAAATCAAAGCTTCGAGATTCTGTAGCATGTGTTATTGTATGAAAACTACGCTTATTCTTGAAGCATCACTAGAAATGGAGCAATATGACACACAGGAGGCAGTGAAAACAAACTAGAAAACACATACAGAAAAACACTACTTGCAAATTCTAATTCAAGACATTTGGAAAAAATCAGTTGAAAAACAGCCTGATGAAAGAGGGGTTTGAGGAGAATTATATGCAAACTGCTCATTTTGCTAAAAAAATAGACAGATGATTGTCAACCCAGTTTATGAAATAAATGGATTTTGTCTACAAGAATACTCATTAGTTGCAAGCACTGTGTTGAGGTAAGTAACCTCAGGGAAAAGAGACTGTGAGTCTCATTGTACACTAGTGAATAATCACCTTACATCAGGACAGTTTATTCTCCATAAATCATTACTTCTACATTACACATTCTGCATAAAATTAGAAGTTTCATGTGCCATATACAAAAAAATAGTTTAGCCTATACAGCCGTACCTGTACCACAATTTCCCCTCATCAACCCTTCCCATCTCTCCACTGTTGACTCGCAACATTTTATGATCTCTTCAGCATTTCTTGGTTTTCTGTTTCCAACAGAAATGGATGCTGGAGAGGGACTCTTCATCAGGGACTGTAGCAATAGGATAAGGGGTGATGGGTTCAAACTGAAACAGGGGAAGTTCAGGTTGGATCTAAGGCAGAAGTTCTTCCCTGTGAGGGTGGCACGGATTGCCCAGAGAAGCTGTGGCTGCCCCATCCCTGGCAGTGTTCAAGGACAGCTTGGACGGGGTTTGGAGCAACCTGGTCTAGTGGAAGGTGTCCCTGCCCGTGGCAGGGGGTTGGAACTGGATGATCTTAAGGTCCTTTCCAACCCAAACCACTTTGTGATTCTAACATCACAGTGCTTCTATACTGCTGCTACAAAATAAGCTGGTTCTGTCTTTGCAGATCCATACATTTCTGCCCCATACTTTGACATGAGTTTATAGTAATATCTGTGGTCTCTGAGGTTCTAAGTTACAACATTCAAGTGTTGAGTGTGAAAACAAAGAGAAAATTTTTTGTCATCTATCAAAAATGTGTTTCCTGATCCTGCAATTGTTTTTAACTGAAATGCCTGAATCATCTTGTTCGCTAGAGAAGGGAATACGGCTTCAGCTCCCCATCTGCTTCCCTGCAGCAGCCCACAGGGAAGCTCTTCTGGGAACTTGGAGCTCTCTGCAGCTGCTTCCTCTTTGCAACTCCAAATGTTCAGCAGCTTCCCCCTGGTTGCTAGTAGCAAAGCAGAGGAAGGAAAGACAAATCGATGCTGGGTGCTGCTGCACGGCAGCCAGATGGGCTGTGCCTGAGCCTACCCATGCACCTCAGAGATAATGACTCACCTATTCCAGACAGCTGCCACAGACAATCCAGGGCCAACTGCAGCAATAGCCTAAAGGGGTTATAACTAGAGGGGCTGCTCAAACATGTGTCAGCTGGTTACTGGCCACAAGGGACTATCCAGGTGAGGATAGACGAAGTGCAGCAGCCTACAATTACCGTTTCTCCCTGTCCCGGTGTGTCCCCTCTCTCAATCACACATTGCCAGGAAAGATGCAAAGAAGTGTTGGACCTACAGATTTAGACTAGTGAATACTCTCTTAAGCTGGGGGATATTTCCTTCTATAGGCCTAAGGACAACAAAAGCAGTCAAATAAAGTACTGCATGTGCCCTCAAGTAAATGTATGCCTTTTACCTTCAAGCAGAAAAGACTGGTCTCAATGTCCTACAATTAATTACTTTCATCTTGATTTTTTGTCTAAAAAAGGAAGACAAAAATACATCATAAAAGATGAAACACTGCTGCCATGGAACTTTGAAGAAGTTTGTTAACCCAGTTTTGCATTTTTGACAGTCAGTATAATAAGTTCATAAGAAATGTATTTTAACAAATTAAGTACATAGGGAGTTTCCAAGCTGCAGTTTCCATTTAAATATCAAGAGTATCAAAACCGCCAGTAATCTATTTAAAACAGCTTAGCATCTAGAGCTGATAACGTGAACAGGCACAGATTGCTTTAGTTATTCCTTTTGCTGAGATTTCTTTAGCACATGGATACTCACATCACAGCTGAAACCACAGTAAAGAGACAGAAATAATTGTTTGGGGGAAAGTACAACTAGTTCTGGCTTATAAAGTAATCAAATCATGCAACTTTTAAAGTAACTACTTTGTAAAAACTGTATTTTATTGAAGTAAAATTTATGTTACAAGGCTCATGAAGGCATTTTTGTTTGAAATTTGCCTTATCTGCCAGTGTTTATACTGCCTGTAAGCTTTTGATTCAGGAAAACTGCTAAAGAAGCTCAACAAGATCAAAACAGAATACATGTATGTCTTTTCTGTAATTCTGAGTGAATTCAGTTATGATAAAAGACACTGAGCTGAGCAACAGGGACCAGTGTTCTCTTCTGTTTACAGGACAGGTATAGCATGGGGCAGCTGCACTGCAGGCTCACTCTATGCTACTCACACAAGAATGAACAAAGCACTGTGGCTAATGAATAAGTCACAGTACTTTGGAGCAAACAGAAAAAGGCTCAGGGGATAGAGTTCTGTTTCCATGCCAACTTCATGTTTATTCTTCGTTTTGAGTCTGCCCAAGAGCACCAATTACTGCATATCTGGTAATTATTTTATGCATGAGGAACTGAATGATCTAGACTTCCAAATAAGGATCAGGTAGCAATATATTTTTCTCATTCTCAATTTATGTGCAATTTAATCAGGTATCTTTTAGGTAAAAAGATCCAAATCCCACCACATACAAAGGTAGGTTATATATAAGTCAGTAAGAAAGCATGCGTTCTGGAAACATTCTAACTAAAATAGAAAAGCACTATATGAAACTTGCTTTATACTTTCCTTGTCTGAAAGTTTGATTAAATACACTGTAATTGCTTAAATGCAATGATACTACATATTATGTTCTTTTGGAAAAAGTCAGAAGCCCATCCTCGTGGACCAAACTCAAAACTGAAGATTCAGATGCATAGCAAACACATCCATTTCCTCCTCCTTCCTTTGCCTTGCTCTAATACATTCTCATGTGTCTGAGTTTATGACTCCCAGATCCGAAGGTTATTCTGCACCAAAACATTTTCATGCAGGGTAGTTTACATTGTCCCAATAAAAGAAATATTGAGGTGCTACAGCAGCTTTTGATTACCCTGGTGACTGCTATCATGCTCTTTTTTATTCACCTATAACTTTACTCCAGATGGGAAAGAACTAAAAACAGAGAGACAGAGAGAGACTGAAACGCAGTGGATCGAAGCTGCTGGTTCAGCTCTGTAATGCTGTTGAAAGAAGCTCCTTTATTTCTATAGGTTTAACTGAACTCATGTCAGGCCACTTTCTACCACTAGTATAGAGAAAATTAATCTTAGTGTATGGCAATATCTGGGCAGTTTGAATAATCCTTCAGTTTTGAGCTCTGGATTTCCACAGAGAGTTGGCAACACTCTCAAGCCCCAGCTGTCAGACATGCAGGGAAATGATGCAAAGAGCTTCTGCATGGGTGTTAAAATAATATGTGAACAAATATTCAGATTGTATAACAGAACAGAACACTTCAGATTCAATTTAAAAAAAATCCCAGCAATAAATAGGCATTTAACTGTCATCAAAGACAGCTTCTAAGGAATTAATGACTGGCAAGAATTGGACTTCTTCAATTATTCACACCAAAGCCAAATGCTTGAAGAAATGTGATTAGTTGACACAAGTCTGATTTGTGAACAGGTAACCCAGCAGTCCAAGGTCATTAGCTTCTAAAGCATTTGAAATGGCTCACAGAGCACAACTGAGGAGTCTGCTTCACAGGTTTGCATAAACATCACTGTAGGTACATCTATATTTAATACAATGTAGGCACTTGCTTTCTATAAATCCCTAAAAAACTGGCTTAAATATGTTTAAATTCTTCTTTTAAAGCATTAAGACAGATTTTAGCAATATGCTTTTAAACCAAATGCTGGAGTCATAAAAAGGTAACTAAATTGTAGTACCTCCTTCTTTAATATTTGCTGTATCCACTACACCCTGGTCTTTGACTCACACTATTCCTCATAAACACAATGCTGCTACCAAACTCACCGTCCACATTATCAGGCTTAAGCTTCTTGTAATCCCTTCGAAATCACAAGCAAGTTTTCCTTCCTAATTTATACCAGATTTCATACCATGTCCCCACACTCCTCTCATCCTCTCTTACCTATCGATAGTACACACATGGCACAACCTTCCTGAGCTCACCCACAGATCTGGCAATGTGTCTGCATTTAAGTCTTTCTTATCATGCTGATTATAGTGAACAAAATGAACTTGTGTTTAAACATTCCTCTTCTGGGGTTTGTTTGTCCATGAGCCATATGTCTCACATGAACAGATAACGTTGCTTACTTCAGATACACTTAACAAGGAGAAAGTGATAGCACAAGTAACAAATGGAAAACAAAATTCAAACTAAAACATTAAAAAAACTGAACTAGACTTCTTTTAAGACTCTGTTTTAAAGTGCACATCCTATCAAATTGCTTCAAAGTAATCTGCAAATCTCACCTCACAGTATTCGGTGATAATGCAGAAACTATCTCGCTCCACAAAGCTTGCATAAAATCTGACAATGGCTGGATGGTCTAATTTGGAGAGTAGTTGTGCTTCCAGATTTGCTTCAACTGTTTCATTAGGCTTTAAGTCTCCAACAGAGATTTCCTTTAGAACCTTTCTAGAGGAAAAAAGAAATCATTGTATTAATCAAACCTGAAAAAATATCAAACATAAAATCATGTAATACTCCAAAAAAAAAAAAAAAAAATAATCATTTCTTAAAATGCAAAATAACACTAACCAAATATTTGGCAGCATGAAACGATGAGGCAAATATGGGTAAACAGAAGAATGCCTTAAAATGCAAATAAATATTTTAGTCACCATAGCAATTAAACAATGGTTTAAGTATACTATTTCCAAGTATTTTTCCCACTAGTTTCCTACTGCACTGTTTCCTTCATGACATGTTTTCAGTGCTATGGATTAGTGCATAATAATAAACATAAACAAAAGGTCAAATCTAAGTGATTTCAAACCCACTCAGAGCATATGCTCAATACTCCTGCATGAAATAAGAAGTAGCGAGGAACTGGTTTTGCTGCTTCTGCCAAAGTCTCTCCATGGAATCATGAGGAAAATCACACAGAAGGTAGTATTTCTGTGACAGTTTTTCTGGTGATAAACTCAGGATGCCTATTCCTTTTTCTCTGAAAATCAGCCTGCCCTTCACCTGAACCCCAAAGTGAAAAGAACACGTCTTGATTTGTGGCTGAAACTTCATTCTTACTGTTTGAATGAACTCTAAACTTTCAGTGTTTAGTACTGTGAATGTGCTAGAGAAGAATTTGTAGTTCAGATTTAGCTCTATACAAAAACCTGGAGTCGGGGAGTTTACTGTCAACTTGGCCTGGAAAAAAGGACACTTGAGGAACCATATTTTGCTGTGATCTTCCTGAGGAAATGTTTAGAAAAGGCATACAGCACACAAAGGGATATAATTTCTACCTCCTTTATCAGCGCTGAATAATATATCGTTGGTCTACATCTGAAGGTGCTGTTTAAGGCTACTAGAGAATATCATGGCATTTTACCATTTTACTGAAACAAAGTGATGAATTTCCAGTAAATTTTGAATATATGAAAGGTAAGTTCCACACTGAAGCGATGTCTTCACAGTGCTATTAGTAATTACCCCATTCAACACTGCATGGTTATAAAGTCACAGGAGTTAAACATGACAGCAATAGAACTACAGTAATTTGCTTGACTGAAGGAAAAAAAAAAGCTGCATTTCTTCATAAGAAAATTTATTCCTAAATCTCACCCATCAGTTTCTGACTAATAATGCATGAATTTCTACGTAAACTTCCCTAACCCCCACCTGGCAGCATGATGAAAAAAATACACTGTTGGATTTGTCTGCATCTCTCCAGACAAGCTTCATACTACGCGGACAGGCCAATACTTCCTGCAATCTCTTCATCTTCAGTTGATACGGGGACATTAACCCTTCCCTCATACAGATCATGTCACAGAACTGACAAACAGTGAGTCCTTGTTAAACACCACTTAAGACAAGTTTTTTGTATACTCGAGACAGCTATAAAAGCCTCCTGTGTAGATGGGTAGGGACAGCTTGTCATCTTAGTTACTCAGTGATTTTGAAGCTGTCACCAGCTGTCAGACAAGGCAGGTGTTTTTCTTGTTTAAATTAATTCCTAGAAAAAGAAATCAGGAGAATGCGCTTTTTGTAAGCAAGTTTTGGGTTGCTGCTACACAAAGTTAATTCATAGCCAGAGTCGGAAGTCATGTGCATCTACGCAATTAAGATTAAGCACATCTGCATGCCACTGGTGTATGTGCACACTGTTTCTGTATGTAGATAAGGTTTGACTTTACTAGGTTTAATATAAGGAATATAACCAGACTTCATATTAAATGCAAAGCTTTTAATGTCTACTTTAGTAAATACACTTCAAAATTGAAAATGCATACTTAAAAACCTCTGTATTAAGTATTGACCAAGAAGTTATGTCAGTCTCAAAAGCCTCACAGAGAAAATGGACAACTCTCCTCATCTAAAGTGGCTCTTTTCTGGTAACTCTAGAAGGCGACAATGAAGCTAAAAGTCTTCAATCAGAAATTCATCTACATAAATGAACTATACTTTTCAATACATAAGACACTTGAAGAGCGCTTAAATTCACTCTACCCCATTTCAGAATTTACACAAGCAACTTCCACCCAAACAGGCAGCTAAAATGGGCACTTTCTGTACTTACAGGACTCCTAAGATAACTCAAATTTGGCTTCTCTGCTGATGTCAGATAGGCTGATAGATCCATAAACTGATAAAAAAGGTTAGCAACCACAAGAAATTACAAGCTTCTCCTAGTTAAACAATCTTGACTGCATTTCCCCTCTACCAAGAGAATCCAGCTCTACACTTTGAAGGAGACACTGTTTCTGTTTATATGATCCAACCACCTGCATTTTAAGGTTGGTTTAAAATAAAGAGGAACTTATTATTGCTCATAATTCAGCCATAGTACTTGTGTATCATCTGCTGAAAATCTGCATGCACTTAACAGTTTAGAAACATAGGTAGCACCAGGTATTTTAAACAAACTTTTTGAAGCTTGTGACATGAACATTTATTATGAATATTGGGAATAATAGCCTTCCACGTTAAGATTTTGTCAAGACTCCATGTGGAGTATAACAGGTCCTTCTGAAAGTCAAGATTCTTCATAAACCCTACTCCTGTATTTTCTGCAGGATTTAAAAGGTCCAAAACTTTGCATGAACTAAGAAGTCATAGATCTAAGTGGCACATACTAAAAAACAGGTAAAACCACTAAAACGTAGATGCCTTCCAAATACAATACTTAAAACTACCCCTTTTGATATAATTCTAAAAGACATGCACTAATTTAAATGTATCTATTTATTATTATGAATAAATGTCCCTAAAGACAAGATAAAATGTCAGAGAATACACAACCAGAAACCATGGTTATAGAAGTGCTAGCAGATTTGCTAAATACAGAACAAGACCCTCCAGATTTTAACCACGTAGGGAAAAAAAACCCAAACCAACCAACCTAGCCTTGCAGTTTAATAACAGACACTTCGAACTTGATCTTGAGCTGACCGCAACTGAAAGAGTCTTACAGTGAATGCATTCATATCATAAGAGCAAAAAGCTATAGCATCACTATTTACACCCTTCTTGGAGGAAGCTAAGTATGATACAGGGAATAGCATCAGAGTGGGAAAACTACATGAGAGAGAAGTTGACTCCTCAAAATACAGACAGCAGCTGCTCTGTCTCCACAGCGCCTCAGCACGATCCCAGACCTTCCCCAGGAACACTTTCTGGCTTTCATCTGCAGAACCTTGCTGGCTTGCACTGTCACACTTTGAAGCACAGCCTGGCCAGTGTAATAACATGGAGCAAATGCAGATAAATAGAGGAAGACTTAAACCAAGAGAAAAACAAGCACGAAGGTGGAATCCTCTAGGACACAGACACACAGTGGGAATCCCTTTCTGCACTTCACCAGTGACTGACAATATGCCACAGCAGTGTTTATCTCAGTCTGTTTGCACTGATCTAAAATTAACCTTTTTACAAACCATCTGCTATTTGTTTATGCTGATGACACACTTTATTATTATATAATTTGCTTTACTGGATCAGATGGAACTCTTGAAAGAAGGCAGCCTTTCTCAAAATGCACTCTGCTTTTGGACCAAACAGCGACATGCGTTACCAGCTAGGTACATTTGCTTGCTGATAATGAAGTGAAAGAAACCTATCTCTTTACACGTCAAGATAAATAGGTCTCCTAGAATAGCACAGAGAAGGTGTGCTTTAGGAATATATGATCAAAATTTTGATTTTTGTCATCAAACAGAAACTTCATTTTACACAGGCAGTTGTTTAGTTTTAACTGCAACCTGAGATTATTAGCAAAACCTGCTAGCAGGTAAGCAGTACGCAAAGCTGGGAAGTTACCATTCCATTTAGTTGCTATTTCCAAGTTGTCAATACAGAGACTTTTGGCATAACCCACAAATGTGTATTGTATTTCTGTCCACTCTGACTAGATGTGATTCTGTAAAAATGTATCACCTCATACCAGCTCTGTAATTAGCTTTGCAATTGGTCATAAACAATAAAATTAAAGGAGTGCCTGTCTAACTAATGAAGTCTTAAATTCTCTTTATCAAATGGCAAAGAGAGAAGGTATGGTACTAAAAATGGGGACCAAAATGAAGAAGAGGCAACAATCCTCATAGAATCATGGAATGGTTTGGGTTGGAAGGGACCTTAAAGCTCATCCAGTTCCAACCCCCTGCCATGGGCAGGGACCCCTCACACTAGACCAGGCTACTCCAAGCCCCTGTGTCCAACCTGGCCTTGAACACTGCCAGGGATGGGGCAGCCACAGCTTCTCTGGGCACCCTGTGCCAGCGCCTCAGCACCCTCACAGGGAACAACTTCTGCCTAAAATCTCATCTAAGTCTCCCCTCTGTCAGGTTAAAGCCATTTCCCCTCACCCTGTCCCTACAGGCCCCTGTAAAAAACCCCTCTCCAGGTTTCTTGTACGTCCCCTTAAGATACTGAAAGGCCACAGTAAGGCGTTTCAACACCTTAAGGTATGTATACCTTAGGGCCTTTTATACACAAATTCAGTCTGTATAACAGCTTCCACATTAAAGCTGTTTGGGAAGTTCAGTAACAAGGATACCATGTAACAAGGATTTCATATGGCACCCTATGGCCTGGAATCTACTTCCTCACTTAGGCTGGTCTTGTAGTTCCACTGTAATTTTCATCTAATCCTTACCCATCATATACACAGCTATCCTGTTACCAATAGTCTTACCAAATTTCTCTGTCTGGCGTCAGTGACTGGCTTTCTGCAGTTTACACCTTACTAACAAAACTTCAGATAACCATTCTTCCCATTTTATCCATTATATTTGGAACACCAGTATCTGCATGCTCAGACATGTTAAAGATACACATCTATCTCTTAGGGAACGAAGGAGCTGGTGAGACCATGAAATGCAAAAAGTCACCAAACACAAATCAGTCCTGCCTAGAATGAATATCTGGTTTTAGTTAAGGAAAGAAATAGTGACAGCAAATTAAGAGCACATGAT